GTGTGTCATTTTAATTCCACTGTATTAAAGGCACTGAATGTTTGCCTATCTGTGTGTGTTGTAATCCGCTCTGAGTCCCCTCGGGGAGAAAGAGTAGAATATAAATAAAGGGTATCATTATTATTTACTTTCATGACTGCAAAAGTAGGTTGCACTCAACCCAACAAGGGGAATACAGATGGAGGATTTTCCTTCCCAGTTGGGTCAGGCAGAAGCCAACCGCAGTGTATCTGTCCTCCTCCTTCTCCTCATAAATGTACAGTACTACTATTCTACTACTACTAACATGCCTTGGTGTTTCTGGCCTCTTTCTCCTCTTCCTCCTCTGTCTTCAGCTTGCTTTGGTTGCTGCAAATGGAGTTCAAAATACGTAGGTTATTGTGGAGGAATGTTTTCCCTTCCCAGTAGACTCAGGCAAAAGCAAACTGCCAATGACTTCTCCTAACATGTATGTAAAGAGAAACTTTCCCCATCTTTATGTGATAATATGCTCCAAAAACAAATAACAATGGGTATGGAGGGAAATCTGGTAAATCTCTGCGGTCAAATGACTTTTTTATTTTTCAAAAAAATTTACATTATCCCAACTCTTATGTTCACGGGTTCATCTACACCAGCCTTTCTCAACCTGGGGGTTGGGACCCCTGTGTGGGTTGTGGGAGAATATCATAGGGGTTGCCAAAGACCATCAGAAAATACACTATTTTCTGTTGGTCATGTGGGTTCTGTGTGGGAAGTTTGGCCCAATTCTGAATCAGAATGCTCTTTGATTGTAGGTGAACTATAAATCCCAGCAACTACAACTCCCAAATGTCAAGGTTTATTTTCCCCAAACTCCACCAGGGTTCACATTTGGGCATATTGAGTATTTATGCCAAGTTTGGTCCAGATCCATCATTGATTGAGTCCACAGTGCTCTCTGGATGTCAGTGAACTACAACTCCAAAATTCACAACCAATGCCCACCAAACCCTTCCGGTATTTTCTGTTGGTCATGGGAGTTCTGTGTGCCAAGTTTGGTTCAATTCCATCGTTGGTGGAGTTCAGAATGCTCTTCGATTATAGGTGGACTATAAATCCTAGCAACTACAACTCCCAAATGACACAATCAATCTCCTCCCAATTGGACCAGTATTCAAATTTGGGTGTATCGGGTATTTGTGCCAAATTGGGTCCAGTGGATGAAAATACATCCTGCATCTCAGATATTTACATGACGATTCAGAACAGGAGTAAAATTACAGTTGTGAAGTCACAACAAAAATAATGTTCTGGTTGGGGGGTCACCACAACATGAGGAACTGTATTAAGGGGTCGCGGCATTGGGAAGGTTGAGAAACACTGATGTACATGGTCGAATTAATGCAGTTTGATACCACATGAACTGCCATGGCTCAATGCTATGGAATCCTGGGAGTTGCAGTTTAGTGAGATATGAGGACTCTTTCACAGAGAAGGCTAAATCACCATCACCACCACCACCAACCCCACCATCACCATCACTATCATCATCATCACCATCATCATCATCACCATCATCCTCATCACCATCATCATCACCATCTTTATAATCATCATCCTCATCACCATCATCCTCATCACCATCATGATCACCATAATCATCATCATCACCATCATCCTCATCACCATCATCATCCTCATCACCATCATCACCATCATCCTCATCACCATCATCCTCATCACCATCACCATCATCCTCATCATCACCATCTTCTTCTTCTTCTTCTTCTTCTTCTTTACAAAACTACTCAGGATGCCAAAGCATTGAGCCATGGCAGTTCAAGTGGTGTCAAACCGTCTTAATTCCATTGTGTAGACTCTCCCCAGGAAAGTGGGCATCTGTGTTGATGTACACACACATATCCGGATCAAAAAAAAAAGCCGCTGAGATAGAAAACCCAGAAGGTTCAACAAGCCAAGAAACCAATAAAGAAATCCCTCTTTTTCTTTTCCCTTCCCTTGCAAGGATGAGAAACATATTTTGCAAACATCATTAAGGTGGGATATCATGTTCAAAGGGAGAGCGTTTATGTTGGCAGTGGGAATCAAAAGGAAAAGGGCTGGAGGTTTCATGCACAATGAGGGCCTGGAAGTTTGTGTTGTTGTTTGTTGTTGATTCGTTTGAAGGCAGCCAAGGCCCAGGGACCTGCCCTCCCCACTCGGTCCCCGTCCAGCACTTTTCCTTTGGCTGTCACTTCCAATCCGTCTCTCTTCCCCCCTCCTTTGCCTTTTTCGTTTATATCTCCATAATGCGAAGCGGATGTGGATGTGAATTGAAGCATTTTAATCTTTCCTGATCAGAATGAAATGCAGACCCGCTGGGATTTATAGCAGACACTCTACACATCCCCCTAATTGAAAATAACAACAAACATATTATTTCTTCTTCTCCTTTTTTTTAAACGTCAAAAGAAGGAGGGAAAGAAAGAAGGAAGCAAGGATGGGGTGGGAAAGATGCAATATTTGGTCGACAAGGAGAAAACGCTCTTTATCAATAACTTCAACTCATTAAAGTGCGTCTACACTGTTGAATGAATGCAGTTTGACACCACGTTAACTGCTATGGAATCACAAGAGTTGTAGTTGTAGTTGTAGTTACCTTTTTTCCAGAGGATGAATCTGTGATGATTCTGCATATTTGTAAGCAAAACTACTTAGATATACCTTAGAAAAGGAATTCAGGTTTGGTTTCTTTCCCTGCTAGGCCTCAGCTGGTGAACTGAACTGTTCAGCTTCTGCCTGGCACACTGTTTACTCTGCTTAGAAAATGTTTAATTGCTACTATTCAACACTGATAGGAAGGAACCTTTACCATAATTTGAAACAATTTGCCTCTTAGACTAGCAAATCCCAATACCTAATAGTAATAATAATAATAATAATAATAATAATAATAATAATAATAATAGTATTATATCACACAGTCCTAGATGCTTGGGAAGTGTTCGACTTATGATTTTGTGATACGAAATCCAGCATATAGATCTCGTTTGCCGTGACATACTGTGTTTTTGTGTCAGTAAAATAATAATAATTGTATTTATTATCCACCTTATTTATGATTACAACTTATTCCACTGTTGTTAGCTATTAATTAATTGTTTATTATTTAGGCATTTGGGTGTTTGTGTTAGTTGTTTTATTATGTCTTGCTGAATGTGTATTTTATGCAAATCTGTTTTAGTCCACTGTATGCCGCTTTGAGTCCCATGGGAGAAAAGCGGGAGAAAAATGAAATGATGATGATAATAATAATAATAATAATAATAATAATAATAATAATTTATTACTCATTAAGTGTTTTATTTATATTTATTTATTGCATTTGTCAGCCTCCTTTTACACAGTCTTTCATATTAAGAGTCCCAAAAGTGATGCAGGTTTGGTTTCTTTCCCTGCTAGGCCTATGCTGGTGAACTGTTCAGCTTCTGCCTGGTGCACTGTTTACTCTGCTTAGAGAATGTTTGACAATTGCTTCTATTTGACATTGATAGGAAGGAACCCTTACCAAAATTTGAAGCAATTTGCCCCTGAGACTTTTCTTTGCATTGAATGTTTTTGGTTTGGTTTTTTGTTTGTTTGTTTGGGTTTTTTGGCATTAAATTTTGGAGAGATAGGGCAGTTTATAAACTTTATCAATAACCCAGGCTAATTTCAATAACCCAGCCAAAGTTTTACTATTGTATTATGATATAGTTTGGGGAATCCCCTGCAAATTGGGCAGAGAAGGCTGAATGCCTTGTCAAATTCCAACTCTAATGCTTCCATTGTTAACGTGGTGTCAAACTGCATTCATTCAGCAGTGCAGATGTACCACAAATGGATGGGAACTTGCTCAACCGACAGGATATACATTTCAAAGGGGCCAAATTCTTATTTGGAGGGAACAATGCTTCCCATAACAACATCCAAGTGAGCATCAGTAACTGGTTACTTTAACCTCAAATTACTTACATGTTATTTTATGATGTCATGCTGTAGAAAGATCTAAAAGCAAAACAAAAAACGGGTCTACGTTAGGTTTCCCTTTCAGTAGCTTGGTAGGAAAAACACTGTTTACTCTGCTTAATGTTTGACAATTGCTCCTGTTTGACATCGATCGGAAGGAACTTGAAGCAATTTGCCCCCAAGACTAGCAAATCCCAATAGCTAATAATAATAATAATAATAATAATAATAATAATAATAATGTTTTTATTATTATTATTATTATTATTAAGCCTTCGACAATAATAATAATAATAATAATAATAATAATAATAATAATAATAATTGTATTTGTATTTGTTATCCAACTTCTTTATTACTCACTAAGTGTTTTATTTATATAGATTTATTGCATTTGTCAGCCTTCTTTCTCCCAGTCTTTCCTATTACAGTCCTAAAAGAGAATCAGGTTTGGTTTCTTTCCCTGCTAGACTATGGTGTTGAACTGTTCAGCTTCTGCCTGGCGCACTGTTTACTCTGCTTAGAGAATGTTTGACAATTGCTCCTATTTGACATCAATAGGAACCCTTACCATAACTTGAAGCAATTTGCTCCCGAGACTAGCAAATCCCAATAGCTAATAATAATAATAATAATAATTGTATCTATTACCCACCTTATTTATTACTCATTAAGTGTTTTATTTATATAGATTTATTGCATTTGTCAGCCGCCTTTCCCCCAGTCTTTCCTATTAGAGTCCCAAAAGAGATGCAGGTTTGGTTTCTTTCCCTGCTAGGCCTATGCTGGTGAACTGTTCAGCTTCTGCCTGGCGCACTGTTTACTCTGCTTAGAGAATGTTTGACAATGGCTTTCCTATTGGAATCCCTATATCAGGAGAAAAATAAAGTAATTAAATACAAAAGTAAATCAACAGAAAACTATTGGCTACTGGGAGAATTCAAAAATTGGACTAACTCACTCTTACGTTCTCACCGATTCTCTCCTCCAAGGAAAACAAAATGAGCCGGAAACTAGGAAAGACCAACGTGTTCTTTGAATATTTTTTTTATTGAAAGATGTGACAGAACTCATCCAAAAAAAAAAAAAAACCTGAACAGATAGATGTCCCAAATAACCAGCACATTCCTAATCATGTCATTTAAAAAATTAAAACAATATATATAGCACGCTGTCCAAGTGATAATTTTAATTTTTAGTATAGATTTGCGGCAGGGTTTTCTTCCCTACGCACACATTAGTTTTTTTCTCTTCTTGTTCTGGAGCGAAAAATAAAAACCTGAGGTTTATACCTGTACTTTCTTGCATCCCCGCGCAGTAAAAGATGGTGTGATGTTTTCTTTTTACCCATTCATTCGATATCAAATTGTTCTAAACTTTGAGAAGAGGCTGGTCGATATGATATGTTCTCCTCCCTTTTTCACCCCCAAATGGCACATGATTGTCTTTGTATAGGCGGGATAAACAATTATTATTATTTCTTTCTTTTTTTAGACACCAAAGTCAAAAGAAAACCCATATTTTCTTCCATTCACAAAGAGCTAAATAGGTCTTTTACAAGATGTATGTTCACATGAAACGAAGAGACAGAAAGAGCAATTAAATGTGATGAGTTAAACTCTAATTATGTACACGCCAATGTACAACCCTAAATAAATTAATACCAATTTTTGCATATCTTGGGATTTGTATAGCTTATTTACACAAATTACCATTTATTCCATAAATATTATGCTTCTTTTTTATTCTTTTTCATTTTTTAAAACCAGTACACAGGTAAGAGTCCAAAAGATTGAAAGGGGCGAGGGGAGTCACAATGATTGTACCAATTCTGAATATCCGAGTTTCGTTTCGGTTTTCCGGATGGCCTTCAAAGAGCAGTAAGAAGATACCTGCTAGCAGTACAAACTTTGCTTTCCTCTTATATTTATATATATATATACTGTCCTCAAAATGCTTGCCTGGCATCCAATCATCCTGAACCTTGTTGAAAGAAAAGAAACCAAAATGCTTTCTCCATTGTCTTTAAGATATGAATGACCCAAACCAACATCCCTGTTTGGAAATGTCATCCTTATATGTAGAAAAGAGCAAATTACTTCTCCAAGATGGTTGATTTATGCACATACACGCTCACACACAAAATAATTAGAAGTAGGTGGACTTTCCTATCATCTCCTGCCATTGTGGCCTTCCAGATAATCTCCTACCAAGACGGTCTTCAAGATCATCTCCCACCATCATGGTCTTCAAGATCATCTCCCACCATCATGGTCTTCAAGATCATCTCCGACCACCATGGACTTCAAGATCATCTCCCGCCATCATGGTCATCAAGATCATCTCCCACCACCATGGACTTCAAGATCATCTCCCATCATCATGGTCTTCAAGATCATCTCCCGCCATCATGGTCTTCAAGATCATCTCCCACCACCATGGACTTCAAGATCGTCTCCTACCATCATGGTCTTCAAGATCATCTCCCACCATCATGGTCTTCAAGATCGTCTCCTACTATTATGGTCTTCAAAACCATCCCCCACCATCATGGTCTTCAAGATCATCTCCCACCATCATGGTCATCAAGATCAACTGTTGCCACCATGGTCTTCAAGATTATCTACCACCATCATGGTTTTAAAGATCAACCGTTGCCATCAGGATCTTCCTCATAGGTAGAATCCCTATCATATCTCACCATCATGGTCTTCCAGGTCATCTCCTACCACCAGGATCTTCCTTATAAGTAAATTCCCCACCACTTTCTACCATCATGGCCTTCTAAATGATCTCTTATCACCATGGTCTTCTAAACCATCTCCCACCATTATGGTCTTCAACTCCATCGATCCATCCATCCATCCATCCATCCATCCATCCATCCATCCATGAGATTGTTAGTTACGCAAACCAGAGATTCCAGTTTAGCCTTTTTTTCCCAAAATGGATTTTTTTTCTGGCCAAAACTTAGAATATGCAGCTGGCTCTTTCAGCAAGAAGAAAGGCCAAGAAAATGGTATATCTGGAGGTCGTTGCAGTGTGACAGAACCTGGGGTTCACAACAGTGCCATCTCGTATGTTCCCCCTCTTTGGTTATGTCCTTGGACTGCAGCAGACACTCCTTCTGTTGTCCTTGTTCCCTTCGGAGTGTTCTTGTAGGCCTCCACCACAGGTCTTCTCCACTCTTCTTCCCACTCCACCTCTGATCCCACTCTTCCTTTCCCTAAAAAATAAATATTTATACTGTGCTGTACACATAATCTCCTGCCCGGGGTCTTCGAAGCCCTTTCAGGGGTTGATCGGGGGGCTCGCCGTGGGCAGTCACTTGGGCGACTCTCGACCAGGAGAAACTTCTCGCTGGGTTTCTAAACCGCTGACCAGTCTTTGGATGTTTTGGAGCTCGTTGATGGAATCCTTCAAGGATCCCTTGGGGGACAAGGAGGCCCGTTGGCTGCTGGATTTGGGGAGGGGGAGATCCGAGAGAGGGCTTGATTCCCGACTGCTGCTGGGCTTAGAGCCTTCAGAGCCGGCATTCAGACTGGTCGGCAGGCCAGTGGTTAAGAGATTGGTGCTGGGAGGGATGGCAACTGGGATCTGGTAGGGGCTGAAGCGGAGTCGAGGACGGGCACTACTCAGGAAGGGGTTCCGGGACAGAGAGCTAGCGGTCGCAGCGCTGGTGGCTGGCATGGCAGATGCAGCCGCGGCGGCAGCCGCCATATAAGTGTACGGGTAGGGGAAGAGTCCACCAAAAGTAGGCACCGGGATTCCCTGAAATGAGAGAAAGAGAGAGAGAAGAAAAAGAAAACATGAGATGTCATTGTGGTGGAACAACCGGCGAGGCTTTCAGGCCCCCCCACAATTGTACTGTTGCATTTTAATTTGTACTTCAAATTCTGGCCTAAATACAGTGTTCCCTCACTTATCCCTGGTATCACATTCCAGGACCACCCGCAAAATGTGAAAATCCGCAAAGTAGGGACGCAATATTTATTTTAAGATTTATACATTATTTTAGTAGTTATATACTATTTTAAGTCTTTATAAACCCTCCCCACACACTTATACACTGCACAATCCTTTGCCTTATAAACAAAATCCTTCGGTCACTTTTAGAAAGTGCTCCACTTCCATTGGGCATAAATAAGAAGCATTCATACGTGCATGTGCAGTCTAGCCCTCGCGCTTCCTTATCTGCCTCTGCTGTGAGTCAACCCAATAAATGCGTCTGGAGCCATTTCCGGGGCCACGGTAGCGCCAAAGGCCGCATTCGTGACCAGCAGGCCTTCTTCGCTGTGTCTCAGGTCCAGTCCGCACACCAGCCTCCCTTTCTGTGGCCCGTCAGCCTCAGAAAAGAAAAACCACGAAACAGCGAGTCCGCGAAAAGCAAACTATGAAGTAGTGAGGGATTACTGTACCCTAGAGCAAGTATGGACAAACTTTGGCTCTCCGGGTGTTTTGGACTGCAACTCCCACAATTCCTTACAACTGGTAGACTTTGAGGAATTGTGGGAATTGAAGTCCAAAACAGCCAATCAAGGGAGATTGCAAAGAAAAGCAGAAATAGCAAAAAAAAAAAAAAAAAAGAGGTGCGCGGTGCTTTTAAATCTCTGCTTGCTTCTGCCTCACCCTTGGAATGCAATATATAGCATCCCTCCTTCGTGGATTTTCACTTTTCGCGGGTGGTCCTGGAACGTAACGCCCACAGTAAGTGAGGGAACACAGTACTTAGACTAAGGGCTATTTTATTCAACGTATTTTAAATAATTGTGTGCATTACACCCAGTGTGCGTACAACAACAAAAGTGCCACACTGTCAGTCAAACAAAGAAATAATATGAAGGGCCGGGTTTTCGGACAGCGGGTTAACCACCAGCTGCAGTAAATTTTGCCAAACGAAAGGTTGCTAGTTCGAAATGCCATCAATTCGATCAAAGAGGAATAGAATCATAGAATCCTAGAGTTGGAAGAGGCCTCACAGGCCATTCAGTCCAACCCCATTCTGCCAAGAAGAAGGGAAAATCTCATTGAAAGCACCCCCAACAGATGGCCATCCAGCCTCTGTTTCAAAGCCTCCAAAGAAGGAGCCTCCACCACATTCTGGGGAAGAGAGTTCCACTGCTGAACAGCTCTTACAGTCAGGAAGTTCTTCCTAATGCTCAGATGGAATCTCCTTTCTTGTAGTTTGAATCCCTTCGTCAGGGAAAAATTCAATCCAAATCAACCCTCCTGTAACCTCGACCCATTCAGCTCTTCCTACCTTCTGAAGTTGTGCGAAACAAGCCTGTCCTCTCCTCTCTTGCTCAGCTCTTGTGATATTGAGAGAGGAAAAACGTGGTACCGCTGCCTTTGCTTCACCAACCTGAATCTGGCCTCAACCTTTCCTTCTAGGCTTGCTCTCCATCTTTATTACCCTTGCTAGCTGCGTGCTGCTGATGTCTCCATCTAATTAAAATTATTTTCATGCACCTTTTGTGAAGAGAGAGCAGCCTAAAACATTTAATAACATAATTCATTAAGATTAATATTTTAATAATTTATCAATTTGGCTCAGAAGACCGTTTGAAGTTCTTTCTACAAATTTCTACCTCTCTGATTTCTCTCAAAACCCAGACTATTTTCATTGCAATGATTGGTTCAAATAATAATAGTAATAATAATAATAATAATAATAATAATAATAATTTTATTTATACCCCGCCACCATCTCCCCAAAGGGGGCTCAGGGCGGTTAACATGAGGCCAAGCCCAAAAATAATACTTAGTCTTGGTTCTAAAAACAGCTTTCCCGCTCAGGGTCATTTCAATTGCCTTCCATAGCAGTCCTCTTGACTAGGGATGTGGGGATCCGAACCTAGAACTGTCCATGCTACACATCCCATACAAACTCATCTCAAGTCTGGACTTAGCCTGCACACAACAGTTTCTTAGTCTGTGTCTACACAGCCCAGTCCAATGCAATAGCTTCCTGGACCTTAGTCTCAAATATTGCTTTCCAGTAGATGGCTCAGTCCCACATCAGCTCAGCTTTAAATAGCCTCTCATCTACGATAAGGGGATTAGCAAGCTCTCCAGAACATCGTGCTCACAAAAGTCTTTGTCGTTCTATAAGAGTGGATGGGGAAAATCATTAGCTCTCCTTCTGACATATCTTGATGTCGGCCATTGCATTTCTGAGTTTGCAAGACCAGAAAGGGGCTGTTGATGACCAGGGGATGTTGGAGGTCTCTCATTTATGGAGTCAACCTAATGGCCGAAAAGAACAATCAATGTCAACTTGATGACCTGGAGACATCAAAAGTCCCTACTGCTATTAATTTGACCATTGGCTCCACTTGGATTTATGGTGACCCCATAAATGAGAGACCTTCAACATTGAGGAAGGTTTGCAAGACCTGACTGAGGCCCTTGATGAGCAGGAGAAATAGGAGGTCTCTCATTTATGGGGTTGCCATAAATGGTTGACCAAGTCTAGGTAGTCATGGGAATGTTGATGGCCAGGGGATGTTGGAGGTCTCTCATTTATGGAGTCAACCTAATGGCTGAAAAGAACAATCAACGTCAACTTGATGACCTGGAGACATCAAAAGTCCCTACTGCTATTAATTTGGCCATTGGCTCCACTTGGATTTATGGTGACCCCATAAATGAGAGACCTTCAACACTGAGGAAGATTTGCAAGACCTGAGTGAGGCCCTTGATGAGCAGACGTTGGAGGTCTCTCATTCATGGCGTCGCCATAAATGGTTGATCATATCTAGGTAGCCATGGGAATGTTGATGACCAGGGTCTCTCATTTATGGAGTCAACCTAATGGTCAAAAACACCAATCACAGTCAACTTGATGACCTGGAGATGCTGGAAGTCCCTACTGCTATTAATTTGGACAATGAGTCAACTTGGATTTATGGTGACTCCATAAATGAGAGACCTTCAACATCGAGGAAAGTTTGCAAGACCTGAGTGAGGCCCTTGATGAGCAGGAGAGGTTGGAGGTCTCTCATTCATGGGGGTCACCATAAATGGTGGACCAAAATGAGTAACAATCTGTCTGCCATTGAGAATCCCTGCAACATCAGGGCCACAGTAGCACAGCGGTTAAAACTGCTCACTGTAGGAAAAGCTGCTGACCAGAGGATTAGCAGTTCAAAGCCATGAGTCGGGGTGAGCTCCCGACTGTCAGCCCTAGCTTCAGCCTATCTAGCAGTTTGAAAGTAAGCAATGCAAGATAAATAAATGAGAGACCTCCACATCTAGGTAGCCATGGGGATGTTGATGACCAGGGGATGTTGGAGGTCTCTCATTTATGGAGTCAACCTAATGGCCAAAAAGAACAATCAAAGTCAACTTGATGACTTGGAGATGCCGGAAGTCCCTACTGCTATTAATTTGGCCATTGAGTCAACTTAGATTTATGATGACCCCATAAATGAGAGACTTTCAACATCGAGGAAGGTTTGCAAGACCTAAGTGGGGCCCTTGATGAGCAGGAGAGGTTGGAGGCCTCTCATTCATGGGGTCACCATAAATGGTTGACCATATCTAGGTAGCCATGGGGATGTTGACAACCAGGGGATGTTGGAAATCTCGCATTTATGGAGACAACCTAATGGCCAAAAAGAACAATCAAAATCAACTTAACAACCTGGAGACGCTGAAAGTCTCTACTGCTATTGAGTCAACTTGGATTAATGGTGACTCTATAAATGAGAAACCTTCAACATCGAGAAAGGTTTGCAACACCTGAGTGGGGCCCTTGATGAGCAGGAGAGGTTGGAGGTCTCTCATTCATGGGGTCACCATAAATGGTTGACCAAAATGAGTAACAATCTGTTTGCCATTAAGAAGCCCTGCAACATCAGGGCCCTTAGCACATGCACAACAAATAACTGGGTTGTTGTGGATTTTTTTGGGCTATATGGCCATGTTCTAGAGGCATGGCCATATAGCCCGAAAAAACCTACAACAACCCAGTGATTCCGGCCATGAAAGCCTTCGACAATACACAATAAATAAGTTCTAAAATACATATAAAAAGCCATTCATCAAGTTAAAACACATTTTAGACCGTCCCTGCTGTTTGTATTAATTTGCTTGCTGGCCTGTGGGTGAAAAGGATGTCAGAAATATTAAAAATTAAGTGGGTATTAACAACTACAAAAGTGTGAGTCAAGCACTGAAAGAATGTGTAGGCCGAAGCCTGTTAGAGTCAGTGGGCCAAAGCTAGTGTCGTCCTGAGGAGTGTGAGGTAAACCTCTGCGTGAGAGAAGCCTTGTGTGGGAAAGCTCCAGTGTGAAGGCTGCTACGTGTAAAGCTACTGTGTATTTGTTTATTCGTGTTACGGAAACCCTGTTCTCGTGTGAGTCAAGCACTGAAAGAATGTGTAGGCCGAAGCCTGTTAGAGTCAGTGGGCCAAAGCTAGTGTCGTCCTGAGGAGTGTGAGGTAAACCTCTGCGTGAGAGAAGCCTTGTGTGGGAAAGCTCCAGTGTGAAGGCTGCTACGTGTAAAGCTACTGTGTATTTGTTTATTCGTGTTACGGAAACCCTGTTCTCGTGTGAGTCAAGCACTGAAAGAATGTGTAGGCCGAAGCCTGTTAGAGTCAGTGGGCCAAAGCTAGTGTCGTCCTGAGGAGTGTGAGGTAAACCTCTGCGTGAGAGAAGCCTTGTGTGGGAAAGCTCCAGTGTGAAGGCTGCTACGTGTAAAGCTACTGTGTATTTGTTTATTCGTGTTACGGAAACCCTGTTCTCGTGTGAGTCAAGCACTGAAAGAATGTGTAGGCCGAAGCCTGTTAGAGTCAGTGGGCCAAAGCTAGTGTCGTCCTGAGGAGTGTGAGGTAAACCTCTGCGTGAGAGAAGCCTTGTGTGGGAAAGCTCCAGTGTGAAGGCTGCTACGTGTAAAGCTACTGTGTATTTGTTTATTCGTGTTACGGAAACCCTGTTCTCGTGTGAGTCAAGCACTGAAAGAATGTGTAGGCCGAAGCCTGTTAGAGTCAGTGGGCCAAAGCTAGTGTCGTCCTGAGGAGTGTGAGGTAAACCTCTGCGTGAGAGAAGCCTTGTGTGGGAAAGCTCCAGTGTGAAGGCTGCTACGTGTAAAGCTACTGTGTATTTGTTTATTCGTGTTACGGAAACCCTGTTCTCGCAAATAGTGCAAAGAAAAGGGTCTCCCAGAATATTGGAGTCCCGGAGTCTGGGACCTCCTGTGTATGAAGTGGATGCTTCGCCAACATCCCACTAACCTCATGGTCAACCCCAGTACTCCTTGCCCATTGCCCCTTACCTGAGATGCCAACATGTGCTGGGAAAGGTGGAAGGGGAAAGGGGTGGCGGTGCCGGCGGCTGCTTGACCGCTGGCCGAGAGACCCCCGTTTTCCAGGCCCCCGGCGCCAGCCACGGAGGCCAACAAGTGTCCCATGCCCATGGCGGAGAAGGCCCCCGGTGCCATGGCGAACTGTCCCGGGTGGATGAAGAAGGGCTGCCCGGTGCTCAAGGGGTTGAAGAACTGCTGCCCGTGGAGGCTGGAGAGGGCCAGGCTCTGCAGATGCCCGGTGCTCAGGTGCGGTGGGCTGTCCGTCTGGACCATGAGCGGGGAAAAGGACTCCTTGCTGACCCCCAGAGGCCTGCAGTCGGGGGCGGCTTCTTTCTTGGACCCTTCCGGCTGCTGTGGTTGTGGCTGCTCTTTCCTCTTGCCCTCCATCTTGTCCTTCTCCAAACCCAAGGGGCTGAAAAGCGAGCCCTCGCTGTTGCCCTCCTTGGAGGCCTCCTTGGCCTTGGAGGCCCGCTCTTGACTCCTCTCTTCGCCGGGCAAACGGGGGCTGGCGCTGCTGCGCGGGCTGCAGGCACCCGGGTCGGGACTAGGTCTCTTCCCTTCTGGAAGCTTCTCCAACTCCTGGTCACTGCCTTTGTCTTCTGCCAGGGGGAAACAAACAAAAAAATACACCAAAATTCAAATAAATGTGATAAATTTAAGAGGTGAGGGGTCCTATCATCCCTGACCACTGCTTGTGATGACGAGAGTTGCAGTTCAGTACTATACCTGAAGGACCACATTGTCCCAGCATCTTTAATTTGATTAAAATGAAATAATAATAATAATAATAATAATAATAATAATAATAATTATTATTATTATTATTATTATTATTATTTCTTAACCGCCTCTCCTTAAGCTGTTTGAGAGATTTTGGACACCATAAAAAGCTTAGGGAAAGTTACTTTTGGAGACAAGTGGAAATCTGATTGTTATTATTATACACAAGATGAATTCAGAGCAAACAAGATCACTCTGCTGGCTTTTGTATTGGATCACACATTGGACACTTCCCAGGTGTCTAGGACTGTGTAATGTAGTCCTAGACACTAATGCGTGGAGATCCGAGAAGGGTGGCTTTTTGCAGATGGTGATTTTGTCAGCACCAATTGTTTCCAAGTCCTAGACACTAATGCGTGGAGATCCAAGAAGGGTGGCTTTTTGCAGCTGGTGATTTTGTCAGCGCCAATTGTTTTCAAGTGCAGGCCAGGGTCTTTAGGCACTGCACCCAGTGTGCCCATCACCATTGAGACCATCTTTACTGGCGAATAATAATAATAATAATAATAATAATAATAATAATAATAATAATAATAATAATAAATATTATTTTGCATCTACTTTTCAAAGCTTAAAGTGGGATGCAATATAGTTGAAATATATAATATATAAGACTATTAAAACACCCCTATTGCATGGTGACTATGCTAAATGGTGGCTTTTTGCAGTTGACAGGTGGTAATTTTGTCAGTGCCGATTGTTTTCAAGTGCAAGTCAAGGTCTTTAGGCACTGTACCCAGTGTGCCAATCACCATTGAGACCACCTTTACTGGCTATTATTATTATTATTATTATTATTATTATTATTATTATGATTTTGCATCTATTTCTCAAAGCTTAAGGTGGGGTGCAACATAGTTGAAATATAGAAATAACATATAAGACTATTAAAATGCCCCTATTGCATGATGACTATGCTGAATGGTGACCTTTTGCAGTTGACAGGTGGTAATTTTGTCAGTGCCGATTGTTTTCAAGTGCAAGTCAAGGTCTTTAGGCACTGTACCCAGTGTGCCAATCACCATTGAGACCACCTTTACTGGCTATTATTATTATTATTATTATTATTATTATGATTTTGCATCTATTTCTCAAAGCTTAAGGTGGGGTGCAACATAGTTGAAATATAGAAATAACATATAAGACTATTAAAATGCCCCTATTGCATGGTGACTATGCTAAATGGTGGCTTTTTGCAGTTGACAGGTGGTAATTTTGTCAGTGCCGATTGTTTTCAAGTGCAGGCCAAGGTTTCGAGGCACTGCACCCATTGTGCTGATCGCCACTGGGACCACCTTGATTGGCTTGTGCCAGAGTCTTTGTAGTTCAGTCTTTAAATCCTCGTATCATCATCCATATCATCATCAGCATCATTATCACCATTGAGACCACCTTTACTGGCTAATTATTATTATTATATTATAATTATTATTATTATTATTTTGCATCTATTTCTCAAAGCTCAAAGTGGGGTGCAACATAGTTGAAATATAGAAATAACATATAAGACTATTAAAATGCCCCTATTGCATGGTGACTATGCTAAATGGTGGCTTTTTGCAGTTGACAGGTGGTAATTTTGTCAGCGCCGATTGTTTTCAAGTGCAAGTCAAGGTCTTTAGGCACTGTACCCAGTGTGCCAATCACCATTGAGACCACCTTTACTGGCTATTATTATTATTATTATTATTATTATTATGATTTTGCATCCCAGTAAGGTGGTCTTTTGCAGATGGTAATCTTGTCAGCGCCGATTGTGTTTAAGTGCAGGCCAAGGTCTTTAGGCACTGCACCCAGTGTGCCGATCACCACTGGGTCCACCTTTACTAGCTAATAATAATAATAATAAAAGTATCTGGCACAAACCAGTAAAGGTAATCCCGTGGTGATTGGCACACTGGGTGCAGTGCCTAAAGACCTTGGCCTGCACTTAAACACAATCGGCGCTGACAAAATTACCATCTGCCAGCTGCAAAAGGCCACCTTACTGGGATCTGCACACATTATTTGCCGATACATCACACAGTCCTAGACACTTCGGAAGGGTCCGACGTGTGATCCAATACAACAGCCAGCAGTGTCTGCTGTGGATTCATCTTGTGGTGGTTCGAATAATAATAAACATTGTTGTTGTTGTTGTTGTTGTTGTTGTTGTTGTTGTTGTTGTTGTTGTCAAAGGCTTTCATGGCCGAAATCACTGGGCTGTTGTAGGGTTTTTCGGGCTATAGGGCCATGTTCTAGAGGCATTCTCTCCTGACATTTCGCCTGCAACTATGGCAAGCATCCTCAGAGGTAGGTGGTGAGATCCTCACTACCTCTGAGGATGCTTGCCATAGATGCAGGCAAAACGTCAGGAGAGAATGCCTCTAGAACATGGCCGTATAGCCCGAAAAAACCTACAACAGCCCATTATTATTATTATTATTATTATTATTATTATTATTATTATTATTATTATTATTATTCAAGGTAGCGAGAGATTCGAGGTAGCGAAAAACAATCTGAACAATTGCTTTATTTAGGTTGATAGCAAAAGACTTCTGAAAAGAAATCTTGACTTGTTCTTCAACCAAACAGTAGATGGCAGTAGAGAACAGGGCTATTCCTTCAATCTCAGTCTAACTGTTCTTCTATTGCAAAACTACAAGGATTTAGGACTTCATAGTCCCAAAAGTGAACTCTGAAAGGGGGAAAATAATCTGATAACATTTCATATCTATTGATTGAGTATCCCTTATCCAGAAATCTGAATTACTCCAAAGTCCAAGGTGGCCCAGATGGGTGGCTGAGACACTGGCACTTTTGCTTTCTGATGGGTCAGGGAGAACATTGTTTCCTGCACCAAATTCCGTAAAATAGTGTATACAATGGCCTTTGCCTCTGTCTATGTATTGTCTGTCTTTGTTAATTGTATAATGGCATTGAATGCTTGCCATATATTTATTCCGTAATCCACTCTGAGTCTCCTTGGGGCGATAGAGCGGAATATAAATAAAGTATTATTATTATTATTATTATATACTGCTTCAGTTTCACATTTCATTTCTCACCTCTGCTGTTGCGATGGAGCCGGAGGGGGCTGGATGCTGTGGTGCCCAAAGGGGAGTGAAGCGAGTCCCGACCCGCAGCAGGTTCACACGAGGACGCATCAGATTCGGCCCCATCTCGGTCAGGTTTGCACTGATCTTCATACATCCGCAGGGATGGAAGCGTCAACTGTTTCCTGGTTTTGTGGGAGACATGAACAGACCTTAAGAGAGTGGGAACCCATGGTCACTAGAGCATGTGTAGAGTTCTCCCTTCATTCCCTCTTCTAAATTACTAGCTGCAGAAAAACTGCTGACCAGAAGGTTGGCAGTTTGAAGCCATGGGTCAGGGTGAGCTCCCACTGTTAGCCCGAGCTTCTACCAACCTTAGCCTTTGTTTGTGTATGGTATGTCATTGCTCACTGTATAAAAGGCATTGAATGTTTGCCTATAGATGTCAGGAGCAATATATCCATTTCAAAGCAAAAACGGCTTGTGAGTGTTATTTAATATTGCTATATAGATCCTACGGTCTTACAATAGATGTGTATACGGTAATCCGCTCTGAATCCCTTCGGGAAGATAGAGCCAAATATAAATAAAGTGTATTTGTATTTATTTATTTAACCCATTGGAGGAGGCTGCATGAACCTGTTTTGGGTTTTAGTCTGAACTTCAAAAGGACCTTTCTAAGGTTCTGGATCTATTGAAGGAAGTAGCTTTCCATACCTTGTAAAGATCCTTGGATGGTTTCTTTGGAGCTCAGACTAAAATCCGGAGATTCGGAGTGTGTCCACACTGTATAATTAATACAGTTTGACACCACTTCAACGGCTATGGCTCAATGCTCTGAATTTATGGGAGTTGTAGTTCTACAAGCCTTCTCTGCCAAACTATGGGGAGATGGGGAAGGTTTGTTTCTGGGAGTGGGAGGGTGGTTTCACTCATGTTAAAAGCATTGTTATTATTATTTTGGACCAAAAGGATATTCAACCATTATTATTATTATTATTATTATTATTATTATTATTATTATTATTACCTTTTTTCTCTTCTTCCATTTCCGGTATCGCGAAATCCCTTTGCAAAGGGGTTGTTATCTATTTTCAGCTGGGTGATCTGTCCAATAAATACACAAACATATATATGATTTATTATTATTATTAATTACAATAATAATAATTTACAATTCACGGTAGGGCACGACACGGTGAAAAAACATACATTAAAGAAAATACCTTTAAAAGACATATAATAAAAGACATTGAACAACGATAAAAAGCTAGGCATACCAGACGACCTAAGTTTTTCATTCTGTTTTGAGATTCTGTTTTCTTTCTTGTACGGGCCAAAAATAATTGCTTTGTTCAATAAGAAGAATAACATGAATATTTTGAGTGTCCTTCTTAATGGATGAGTTTTCTCCAACGCTGGCTACATCTACACCGCAGGAATAATAATAATAATAATAATAATAATAATAATAATAATAATAATAATAATAATAATATGTGTGGAAACATAGCGGATAAAGCCACTAGCTGTCTAATGTCTATCTGGATCCAGTTCTATTCTTTGATTTGTGGGTTTATATAAGGCTCACTTTGGATCTGGATCAAGACTAAAAAACGGGGTCTAAATAATAATAATAATAATAATAATAATAACAACAACAACAACAACAACAACAGCTATCAGAGTGATCTTGTTTGCTGTGGACTCATCTTGTTGTGTTTCTAATAATCATCATCATCATCATCATCATCATCATCATCATCATCATCACCATAGCAGGAACAACAACAACAATAATAATAATAATAATAATAATAATATTAATTTCATAATAATAATACACTTTATTTATATTCCAGTTTATCTCTCCATAGGGACCCGGGGCGGATTACAGTACACATATAAGACAAACATTCAATGTCTTTTTACATAACAAACAACGACATACAATACACAAACAAAGATAAAGGCTTTCCCCTTTTCATCTCCGGGCGTTTAGAGACAATGCTCAGCTCTGGCCATGGGGTAGGCAGTTCAAATCCGTGAGTCAGGGTGAGCTCCTGACTGTCAGCCCTAGCTTCTGCCTACCTAGCAGTTCAAAAGCATGCAATGCAAGTAGATCAATAGGTACTGCCTCGGCAGGAAGGTAAAAGGGCACCCTGTGCAGATATGCAGACATACCGGCAACACAATCGGAGATGTCTATGGCAAGGAAAAATGGAACAAGAGCACCTCCCCATGGCCAGAGCTCAGCATTGCCTCCAGACTCCATAGATTAAAATGGGAATGCCTTTACCTTTGTTTGTGTATTGTATGTCATTCGTTATGTAAAAAGGCACTGAATGTTTGCCTTATATGTGTATTGTAATCCGCCCTGGGTCCCTCCAGGGAGATAAGGCGGAATATAAGTCTAATGTATTATTACTAATAATATTAATATTAATATTAATATCATCATCATATTATATTATATTATATTATTATTATTATTATTATTATTATTATTATTATTGAGCCGACTTGTCAGTCTTGATCCAGATCCAAAGTGAGCTTTATATAAACCCACAGACCAAAGTACAGAATTGGATCCAGGTAGACATTCAACACCAATCCCACCATGTTAGAAGTTGTTGTTTTTCAAGGAAAATTAATAGAGCTGGAGGAGGTGTTTATTGGAAGGAATAAGGACTCTGATTTGCTTTTATTTTTATGCGCACTGCAACACACCCTGGCAGGCAATGTTTGTTTACAGCTGCATACCCAGCTTCATAACAGGCCTATTTTCCCTCGTAAACTTTATGGCCAAGTTCATAATCGATGAACATTTTATTCCAAATTGGAATAGGGAGACCCCGGGCAAAAGGGAGCGGGAAGGAAGCTCTGGGTGCATCTACGTTGTAGAATTAATGCAGTTTGACACTGCAGATAGAAAACAGCAAAGTGAGTAGATAAATAGGTACCACTTTAAAAGCAGGGAGGTAATAAAGGCATCCATATATATATATATATATATACACACACACACACACACACACACACACATATACATACACACATACATACAGTGGATCAGTAGATGGATAGATTATCTATGGATACAGACAGTGGATAGATGAATAGCTAGATAGATATAGATACAGATGATGGATGGATGGATGGATAGATAGATAGATAGATAGATAGATAGATAGATAGATAGATAGATAGACAGACAGATAGACAGACAGATAGATATAGGTGATGGATAAATTGATTAATTGATAGACAGATAGATACAGTAGATATCACAGATGGTGGATAATTGGATAGAAATAGATAGATAGATAGATAGATAGATAGATAGATAGATAGATAGAGTTGATTGATAAATATAAATATAGATACAGGTGGTGGATAATTGGATAGAAATAGATAAATAGATAGATATTTCTTTCCCATAATCCATCATCTGTATCTATATTTATATTTATATCTATATCTATCAATCAACTTTATCTGATAGATATAGATATAAATATAGATACAGATGGTGGATAAATTGATAGAAATAGATAGATAGATAGATAGATAGATAGATAGATAGATAGATAGATAGATAGATACAAAGATAGATAGATAGATAGATAGATAGATAGATAGATAGATAGATAGATGAATAGATGAATAGATGAATAGATGAATAGATAGATACAAAGATAGATAGATAGATAGATAGATAGATGAATAGATGAATAGATGAATAGATAGATACAAAGATAGATAGATAGATAGATAGATGAATAGATAAATACAAAGATAGATAGATAGATAGATAGATGCAGATGGTTTATAGAAATAGATAGACAGATGGATAGATAGATACATAAAGACAGAAAGATAGAGTTGAGTAGATATAACTATAGATACAGATGGTGGATTATGGGAAAGAAACAGATAGATAGATCGATACCGTATATACTCGAGTATAAGCCGACCCAAATATAAGCCGATGCACCTAATTTTACCACAAAAAACTGGGAAAACGTATTTATTCAAGTATAAGCCAAGGGTGGAAAATGCAGTAGCTATGGGTCAATTTCAAAATAAAAATAGATACCAATAAAATTGCATTAACTGAGGCATCTGTAAGTTCAATGTTTTTGAATCTATGTAAATAAAAATGTAATGTTCATTTGTAGGATTAACATAACTCAAAAACCACTGGATGAATTGACACCAAATTTGGACACAATAGAAATATCAGGCCAACAAGTGACCATCACTCATAAAAACACTGAAAAAAACAGCAAAAGAGACTTTAAAAAACAAAAAAATAAAAATACATTACAATTCATGCGCAAAACCTCATATATATGCAAACACACATATACAGAAATATATACACACACATATATACACACACAAAACACATATTACACAGACTGGGCCACAGCAACAAGTGGCGGGGATAGCTAGTGTTGACATAAAACTGTAATTTAAGATAAGACAGTCCAACTCTGATTAAACCATTATTCTAACCTTCTTCAACGTCAATGTAATAATGTATCCTTCTAATAATAAGTAACAGAGTAAAATAATATATGTAATAATACTAGTAGAGTAAAATAATAAATGTAACAATAATAATAAATAGAGTCAAATAATAAATATAATAAAATAACAATAATAACAGAGTAAAATAATAAATAACATTGACTCGAGTATAAGCCGAGGGGAACTTTTTCAGCCTAAAAAAAGGGCTGAAAAACTAGGCGTATACTGGAGTATATACAGTAGATAGATAGATGGATGGATGGATAGATAGATAGATAGATAGATAGATAGATAGATAGATATTGATGGGTAGATATAAATATAAATATTGAGGGTGGATAATAGATACATACGAATATATGTATAGATAGTAGGCTTGGGCAATCCATGGTTCTAAATGCTTCTAAAGTACTTACAAAACTAAAGTTCTGGTGGTGAAAATTTCAGAACTCTAACAAAACTCTCAAAATTTCATAATAAATGGCAGTTCCTAATTGGTTCTGTCATTAAAATCACCAATAATGAAATAATAATTAAATTTTGAAAGTTTTGTTAGAGTTCTGAAATTTTCACCACCAGAACTTTAGTTTTGTAAGTACTTTAGAAGCATTTAGAACCATGGATTGCCCAAGCCTAATAGATAGATAGGAATAGAGCTAGATAGGGAGTCTCCCATCCCAAACATACTAGACATACAGTATCCTGGCACAAACATACTATATACATGGGCTCCATCACCCACCTTGTCGTTTTGGTAGGCCGTGACCGCAATGAAGTCTGTCTCTGGGAACACGTATGTTCGGAAAGTGCTGTAAGGTAACTTGAGGATGTCATTGGCCCTCACGATGTGGAACCGGGGTTGGTACTTGTGCATGGAGTTCAGGATGGTCTGGGGACAAGAAAAAAACAAGAAGGAAATAGGGTGAAATGTAAAGAGATTGTTATTATTATTATTAATTGTTTGCCTCTCCTCACAGTTGGTGGCAGGTGACAGCCTGACAAAAACGTAAACAAGCACGTCATCATTTGAAAACACTCCATCAAAGACATCTATCAAAACGTATCTCCATAAAATACATCTATTAAAATACACAAAACAAAAATGACACATACTGCAGTGGTTTAAAATTCATCATTACATCAAATAAAGTAGAATGAGTAAGTATAAGTGTAACAACAACAACAAAAAGGTATCTATCCATGTATATATTATCGCTGTCTATTTATACATAAATCAATGATTATTCATCTATTTGTATTAATTTATCCACCATTTATATCTCTATTTATCTATTTCTACCCATTTATGTACTATCTATCTATCTATCTATCTATCTATCTATCTATCTATCTATCTATCTATCTATCCACTGTCTCTATCTATCTATCTATCTATCTATCTATCTATCTATCTATCTATCCATCCATCCATCCATCTACCATCTCTATAATTCATATATATTTTATCCATCAACTCTGTCTATAAATTTCTATCCATTTATCCACCACCTATATAGCTATCTGGAGCTGCTGGTGGCACAGTGGGTTAAACCACTGAGCTGCTGAACTTGCTGACTGAAAGGTTGCAGGTTTGAATCCAGGGAGTAGGGTGAGCTCCCGCTGTTAGCCCCAGCTTCTGCCAACCTAGCATTTCTTATACATGCAAATCTGAGTAGAAGGTAATGATGAGAAGGTAACAGCACTCCATGCAGTCATGCTGGCCACATGACCTTGCAGGTGTCTAGGGACAACTCCGGCTCTTTGGCTTAGAAATGGAGATGAGCACCAACCCCCAGAGCCTGACAGGACTGGACTTAATGTCAGGGGAAAACTTTTCTGTTTACCTTTTTTATAGTTATGTTAATCCCACAAATGAACAATACATTTTTGTTTATATATATTAAATAATAATAATAATAATAATAGGAGCCCAGGTGGTTACAACATCCTTGCAGACAGCCAATTCTCTCACACCAGAAGCAACTTGTAGTTTCTTAATAATAATAATAATAATAATAATAATAATAATAATAATAAACATCCAGGCAATGTCCCCTGAGCAAAGTCCTTGCAGACGGCCAATTCTCTCACACCAGAAGTGACTTGCAGTTTCTTAATAATAATAATAATAATAATAATAAACATCTGGGCAACGTTCCCTGAGCAAAGTCCTTGTAGATGGCCAATTCTCTCACACCAGAAGTGACTTGCAGTTTCTTAATAATAATAATAATAATAACAACAACAGCAACATCTGGGCAAGGTCCACTGAGCAAAGTCCTTGCAGATGGCCAGTTCTCTCACACCAGAAGCGACTTGCAATTTAATAATAATAATAATAATAATAATAATAATAATAATATATTATATAATAATAATAATAATAATTATTATTATTATTATTATAAACATCCGGCAACCTTCCCTGAGCAAAGTCCTTGCAGATGGCCAGTTCTCTCACACCAGAAGCGACTTGCAGTTTCTTAAAAATAATGATGATAATAATAATAAATCATCCGGGCAACATCCCCTGGGTAACGTCCTTGCAGACAGCCGATTCTCTCACACCAGAAGCGACTTGCAGTATCTCAAGTCACATAATAATAATAATAATAATAATAATAACAACAACAACAATAATATGCGTCTAGCCCACTCCAGAGGCAAGCAGATGAAGAAATCTCCAGTACACGTGTATTTATACCGCTGTGTGAAGGGATTTTATTTTTGGCTTGTGTATTTACGGGAATCCCGTCTTTCTCTAGGAAAGGCTGGAGTTCGAGCTCCTTTTTTGGAGTCCCTCAACAAGGAAACCTTTCCATGTTTGACCCCCATTTCATCCCATTTCAGGACTTGTTGCTTTCAGAAAGAAGGGAAGGAGAGGCTGAAAGAGGGGAAGGAGAAGAAAGGAAAGAGAGGGGGTCCCTTTCTAACACGCAAACAGGGGGGACGCGTCCCTCAAAGAGCCCCACTGACCGAGAAATAGGAGATACAGACTCCCCAGAAGAAAGGAAAACAGGGTGACAAACAATTCTGGGAAATCATAAACAATCATTGTGGATGGTGAGGTTTAAATACCATTCCCCCTTGTATTTCTATCCACCCCTACAGTCAACTTTGGAATTTTCTGCGTTTTAAGTCGGGATAGTAATGAAGCTATTATTATTATTATTATTATTATTATTATTATTATTATTATTAGATATTGGCCCAATCCAAGCTTCTTTCTATAGGGCGGTTTTAGGCGCTTTTACTGAAAAGTAAACCTTTTTCCAAGTTCAACAGAAGTGAATAGAAAACAATTCCTGCTAGTAAATAAAATATATATATTTATTATTATTATTATTATTATTATTATTATTATTATTATTATTATTATTGGCACATTTACTCCAAAGTAAACCTTTTCAAAGTTCAACAGAAGTTCAACAGAAAACAATTATATATTATATTATATTATATTATATTATATTATATTATATTATATTATATTATATTATATTATATTATATTATAATATATTTGGGCACATTTACTCCAAAGTAAACCTTTTCAAAGTTCAACAGAAGTGAACAGAAAACAATTATATATTATATTATATTATATTATATTATATTATATTATATTATATTATATTATATTATTATATTATATTATATTATAATATATTTGGGCACATTTACTCCGAAGTAAACCTTTTCAAAGTTCAACAGAAGTGAACAGAAAACTATTATGTTATATTATATTATATTATATTATATTTATTATATTATATTATAATTGGGCACATTTACTCCGAAGCAAATCCTTTCCAAGTTCAACAGAAGTGAACAGAAAAAAATTTCTGTCAGTAAAGAATTATTATTATTATCATTATCATTAAATATTATATTATATTTATTATTATTATTATTATTATTATAGGCACGTTTACTCCAAAGTAAACCCTTTCCAAATTCAACAGAAGTGAACAGAATACAATTCACGTTAGTAAAGAATTATTATTACTATTATTATTAATCTATTATATTATAGTATTATCATATTAATTATATTATTTTAGGCACGTTTACTCCAAAGTAAACCCTTCCCAAGTTGGACAGAAGTGAACAGAAATTATTAATAAATAATAATAATAATAATAATAACGGTTTTTATATTATTAATTATATAATAACATTAATATTAATAATTTTAGGCGCATTGACTCCGAAGTAAGTTCAACCGAAGGGAACAGAGAACCCGTTCTGTTATTAAATTGTTATTATTGTTATTACTAATAACAATATTAATATCCCGCTGGATGGGGACCCAAATCAGAAGGGATGAAGAGACCCCAGCCCGCCATCTCTCTCATTGGGGTGCTTTCTATTCCCGATGGCACCAAAGAGGAAACAATATATTATAGCCTTGGATCCAGCAAAATGATCCCAGCAGGGCTGATTAGTTATTATTATTATTATTATTATTATTATTATTATTATTATCATCATCATCATCATCTAAACCGGTCTTTATTGATTCGCTTTGGGGGCATTTCACGGAGTTTAAGACCAGCATAATCCGACTTTGGGGAAGAAAAAAGAAGTCTACAAACCGCCAAAGGGATGGTCGTGCTGCCCATTTTTTCTAATTTCTCCCCCTTTTTAAAAAATGCCCCCCTTTCAGTAACCTCTTAAATTGGGTTTAAAGAGGGGTCATTCATCGCCAGCCAATGACCCGGAGATTTATGGAAATCATCCCCTTTTCTCCCACTCTTCTCCTCCCTCCTTCCCGGCTCCTTTCCGGCATCTCTATATATCTATAAATCTATATCTATCTATCTATCTATCTATCTATCTATCTATCTATCTATCTATCTATCTATCTATGTGAGTATATGTGTGTGTGTGTTTATGTATGTATGCCCTAAAGGAGCCCAAAAGGGGGAGGAAAGGAGTGGGGGAAATGGGGAGCATGTATGTGTGTGAGTGTGTGTATAGTATGTAAACTATATATATACACACACACACACACACACATATATATTGTGTGTGTGTATATATATATATATACATACACTATATGCATATGTATATATTTATTGAAGTAATATGTGTATGTATATGTGTGTATATATGTGTGTGTGTAAACAATATATATATAGTTTTTGCATATATGCACCTATACATATACATGTACATATATTGTGTGTATGGGTGTGTGTGTATATATATATACACACACAATATATGTACATGTACATGTATATATATTACTATATATATTGTTTACATACATATATAAACACATATACATCTATTGTATACACACACACACATACATACAATAGATGTATATGTGTTTATATATGTATGTAAACAATATATATAGTAATATATATACATGTACATGTACATATATTGTGTGTGTATATATATACACACACAATATATGAATATTTTTAAATATGTAAACAATATATGTATATGTGTATGTGTTTATATATATGTATGTAAACAATATATATAGTTTACATACATATATACACTCTTACACAACATATACATATATTGTTTTCATGTATATATACATATACATTTATTGCTTACATATATATATATGCACATATATATATATATGCACACACATATAAGTATATATGCACATATATTGTTTACAGCAATTTAATAAACAAGGAAAGATTATTATTGTTGTTGTTGTTGTTGTTGTTGTTGTTGGGGGGGGGATTCAATTCTTCCCTAAACTGGAATAAAATTAGGACTCCCCCCTGCTCAATTTAGATGATCCAAATCGAAACACAAGTTGTGTAGAATGTGCATTGGAAGGACTACTAAAACACACACACACACACACAGAAATCGAAAGAGAGGGTATCTTTTTGGAGGCAATGCTAGAAATGTGAGGGAATGAAGAGAAATGGAATAAGATATGCATGCTATGATAAACACTATCACACTATGCAGAGATAGTCCAGTAGCTGGGAAAGGAAGAAAAGTTAGAGCCATGGAGGCATTACTTTTTGACCCACACAAAAAGTAATGCCTTCACTGCTCTATTTTTAATTCCTTTCCCAGCTACTGGACTATTTATGCAGGGTAGGAGAGAGGGAACCCTACTCTACTGATAAGACTCTTTTCTTGTTCACATTGACCCATTAGGACCATGAATCTGAAGCTCAAAGACAGAGCCCTCCTGGAGTTTCTGGCCAAAGAAGGTTAATGTGCACCTCAAAAACATCCACCATCTCTTGAAAAATGTTTCTGATGGGTCCCCTTCTGAATTTGACCTGTTTGGACCTCTGAAAGACAACCTGAAGTAGCACATTTTCTGAAAGAAGAACCAGGAAAATAAGATTCTGACTGTAAACAGAAGGTCAGCTGCTGTCCTCTCCTTCTTGCCTTGTCTTTTATTCATGTTGTATTTTGAAATGGTCATATGCTGGTCAAATAAATAAATATATTATTATTATTATTATTATTATTATTATTATTATTATTATTATTATTACTATTTACCCTTCTGAGTCTTTGAGGACTGCCAGAGGGAAAAAAGGAGGGAAAATGGCAAGGAAATTATGAGATCAAAATCCACTTGGGTCAAATAAATAAATTCATTATTGCAATCTAGGTGTGTTGTGAAAGCTTTCAGGCTGGAATCACTGAGTTCTGAGTCTTTTTGGGCTGTCCGGCCATGTTCCAGAAGCATTCTCTCCTGACTTTTCGCAAACTCCCAGCCTCTGAAGATGCCTGCCATAGATGCAGGCGAAAGGTCAGGAGAGAATGCTTCTGGAACCACGGAAAACTCACAACAAGCCACAACCTACGTGGTTTCAGAATAAATGACTTGAATGTCTTTCAAATCATGGCTCAGGAAGCAAACCCCTGATTTTTTCTCCCCCAAAATGAGTTTGATGTGCCTGGAGGCAAAACTTTTTGACCCATCCTGGTATATAGGAATATAGAATCATAGAGTTGGAAGAGATCTCATGGGCCATCCAGTCCAACCCCATTCTGCCAAGAAGCAGGAAAATTACATTCAAAGCACCCCCACAGATGGCCATCCAGCCTCTGTTTCAAAGCCTCCAAAGGAGTCTCTACCACACTCTGCGGCAGAGAGTTCCACTTATGAACAGCTCTCACAGTCAGGAAGTTCTTGTAGTTTGAAGGAAGGAGGCAGCTTGCTCCCTCCTCCCTACGACTTCCCCTCATATATTTATACATGGCTATCATGTCTCCTCTCAGCCTTCTCTTCTGAAGGCTAAACATGCCCAGCTCTTTAAGCCGCTCCTCATAAGGCTTGTTCTCCAGACCCTTGATATGGCAGTTTTGTGCCCAGGACAGTTCAGGCCATGATCTGGAGCAACTTCTGCTGTTCTAGGTTCATTTAGAACATTTTTAGGACCCAGGAGGCAAAACTTTTTGACCCACCCTGGTGAGGACAGTTCAGATCATGATCTGGAGCGACTTCTGCTGTTCTAGGTTCATTCAGAACGTGTTTAGGACCCAGGAGGCAAAACCTTTTGACCCACCCCGGTGAGGACAGTTCAGGTCATGATCTGGAGCAACTTCTGCTCTTCTAGGTTCATTCAGAACGTGTTTAGGACCCAGGAGGCAAAACTTTTTGACCTACTGGTAGTTTTGCATAGAGGAGAGTTCAGGCTCGGATCTGGAGCAACGTCTGCTCTTCTGGGTCCATTCAGAACTTTTTGAGGCCCCAGGAGGCAGAACTTTTTGACCCCAACAAGGCGGGGGGGGGGGGTCTACTTACGAAGCCGTGCTTGTCGGAGATGTTGTTGGTGAGCTTGAGCTTGTGGAAGGCGACGGGCTTGGCCATCCACTGCTCGCCGGTGGCCGGGCTGTCCGGGTGGATGTACATCCTCTTGGGCATCTCCGGGTCGGCCTTCCCGGCCACCATCCAGCGGGAGTTGTGGAACTTGTAGCGACAGTCGTCGGCCGCCACGATGTCCATCAACAGGATGTACTTGGCCTTCTTGTCCAGGCCGCTCACTCGCACTTTGAAGGGAGGGAACATGCGCCTGGAGACCAAAGCGGGGGGGGGGGGGGGAGAGAAAGAAGGGGGCCAAGGGGGAAAGCAGAGTCAGTCCCTGCTCGCAGGACAAGGCTCTCCCACTGAAAGGGCCCCCCAGCCCCACCCGAAGAAAAGTTGGAGCCGTGGAGGCAAGACTTTTTGATCCACGCACAAGGAAGGCCTGCGTTGCCTTCCTTCGGGAACAAGTCTGGGAGATTCTCTCTGGGACACCTTTGGGGCACCAGAAGAAGTGGGTCACTTTGACGCAAGGGGTTTAGGGAGGGAGGTGGATGTATATCTCAAGATAGACAGATGGAAAACTAGAAAGAAAGATAGATAG